AATATCTTTTTGTTTCATTCGATAAATAAATAAAAAAAAGTCAATAAATATTGAATATCAAGAAAAAATAGTTACTATAATTACAGTTATAATTACTTTAGATATAATATTAATCTGTTGCAGTTACTTTTCATTGTCGTCCCTACTTTCTCCTTTGGGTTCAGCACTACCGTTCCATAATCTTTTCTTAATTACATTCCATCGATTATATAAAGAGCTTCTGTTCCTTTCAGGAAAGTTTTCTCTCGAGATATTAGACCAGCGAATTTCTGGCAGATGAGCTAATACAAGATTAGATAATAATTTATCATCTTCGATTGTCCAACGACCTTTTGCTGTTGATACCATAGTTTTGAAATCGTCAATCATTATAGGCATATCGGACTGTTCTTCGGATAAAGATTCTGTCACTTTCGTAGACGATTTTTGGATTTTTTTTTGTTGTTTTTTAGGTTCTAATGCCTTCTTCGTCATTTTATTAGCCGTACTTTTGATATTATCTTTGCTTTTTAGATTTTTCGATTGCGATTGAATTTTTGAATCAACTTCGTCTTTTATCTCTTTAGTAATGATGCGTTTTCGTTTTTTGGGATGCTAATTTAGGAAGATTAATAAAATTTTGTTAGCTACGATTTTGATTATCTTTAAGTTTATATACAATAAAAATTTTTTTTCAAGATCTCGAACTTCACAAAACAAGTAGCTCTTAAAAGACATATTTAACCTTTTCAGCTTCGGAACTCTCTTTTCCTCCATCTTTCTCCACGGTTTGTTTAATTTCATTATTTATAGTATTTTCACTAATTTTTTCATCTCGAGTACTGATATTTTCATGTGCTTTATTTTCAATTATTCCATCTTCATTAGAAAAGGAATATAATGATGGGACATTGTCTTTTTCTTCATCCATTTCTTGTTTTGATTTTCTCTTTCCCATTATTTCTAAATTTCTTAGAAATATTCTTACATAAAAAATATTAAGTTTAAATCGAAGAAACGAAACACAAAACGAAAGCAAGTAATAAAATGATTTTCTTATTTATCTTTCTACATCAATCTTTACACTAAAGGAAAATACATGATATCATTACGAACAAATTAAAAGTAATCTTTTACAATTATTTAAAAATCGGGATTTATATTTTAACTCTAGCTATTTATCTATCAATCGTAAAAAATCCTCGATTTGTTTTTTTTTTTTTTTTTTGCACTTACCTATTACAGTATTAAGAAAGTAAAATAAATTATTCATTTTTACTTACCTTAACACATATCTAGGAATTTAATAAGTAAAAACGTGTTGATAAATTGATTTATCATTATCCTTTGAATGTATCATTGATGGAGTTAAAGAAACTAATTAGCAATAGCTTAATTGGAGATTATTTTTCCATTATTAATAAGCATTATTATAAAATTCTTAAAATTAAGAAATATAACTTATATAGTTCACTACATTAAATACTGTAATATGAAAAAAAAAACACTTTTTATATTCTTAAAAATATATAAAATTTTTTTTACAAAATTACAATATTCGAATATTATGTAAATTTGCAAGTTAGGTTTAAACGAAAAAAAAAAATCATCTTACATAAATAAGTATTTTTTAATAATTTGTAATAAGAATTTATACAGTAAAATAAATTTATTCGTAGTATATTAAACTCAAAAGAATTTACGTGAAAGTATAATGTTTTTGGTACCCTCGAAATATATATGATCGAAATAATGTAAAATTTTGCATCATAACAATATTATAAGGTTGTAAACTTAAATATAAAACAAAAAATAAATAAATAATCTTATTTAGTAGTCGCAAATGAGTTAAATGAAATTTAACAGAAAACTTATGATTAATCTATATTGAATACTTAATATCACTAGTAGTATTATAATTAATTTTGTAAATAATAAAATATTATATATTATTATAGAGTGGCTATCATATTTGTGACTGTTTTTGCTTTTTAATGCTTCCAGAGGAATATGTAGTGTTTCCTCTAGCATTAAATACTAAAATAGAGTTTTAATACTTGTCATATTATATTGATATAACGGTAATTAGTTTCCCTGTAATCCACTTAAAATTATGGATGATTAATTTAGTTTTAAAAGAAGATAAGAATAAGATAACAATTGCAACCAATAATAAAATAACTTTAGATTAGTATAAGACATGTGACCCTCATAAAACAATACAAACAATACAAAGCGGAAATAACGATAAGGATATTGACGACTGCATTAAAGAATTTCGCATCTGGAAAATGTGTACCAGGTTGGCCGTCACAATGGCTTGATAGGTCAATTAAAAAAAAATAATAATAACTAGCTTCTAATGCTTAGAATGAATTTAAGATTATAAAACTTTTAATTTGATAAAAATTAGTCATTCTTAGCTTACTTTTTGTTTACTTTATTTTAATTAGAGATGAGATTTCATATACATTTATCCCATCAAAATTTTTATAGAACAATTATATAAGCATCAAGATTTAAATTTCAATACAGTTTTATCCTCATTTATTAATGAATATCAATCATTAAGAATTTTCTTTTGTTATCTTAGTGCTGCCCTTTTTTTATAAAACAATTCGTACATTGATGCAAATTCACGAGTATGTTCCATCTCTAACTTTAACGTTTTTTAGATTTCTTTCAAATCTAATTCTTGTTTGAATTCAATATTCTGTTTGAAAAGAATTTATTGAAACTGAAAAAATTACAAACATTATCATAATGA